GAAAAACTATACTGTTCAGAAAAGTTCATTAACTTGTTTTCAGCATAAAAGAACACACTTATAATTTCATTAACTAGAACAGCAAGCAACACTACTGCATCTGTCATCATGTTTAAGTGTTGGTAACAATTAACAATATATTGTTCAGTGCTAAATGTTCTTCTGCAGTTACTTTAGTATTGTAAAAGAAAATCTAGTCCTGAACAATATCTTTTCTAACTTTCATATAATACCAAAGTCATCAAAACATGTGAGCATCTCGAAAGCAGAAAGAAGCACCAAAAAGGATCCAGAAATCTCCTGAATTCTGTTTTCAGAATCTGTCCCTGTAGTTAGCAGTAGATACTTTAGAAGAGAGCAGATAAATTTTGTTGCCTAAAATATTGTTGTATGCACAAACACATATTTTTACTTTACACTTTGATACAAACCTTTCTGCTTTCTAAAATGGGATCTGCACAGCCAGCCATAAATAACTGTTGCTGCCTTCTAAGCATTATTTACATTCCATTCAGAATGAAAAACTGTGAATTCTGGTTAATTCTCCAGATAAATTCTAGGAAAAACTGCACCTGTAAAAACTACAATGGCTTTATAACCACACAATTATACTGTGATTACAAAGTTAGAGGTCAATGAAAATTCTATTGCTACTTTTTGTTTAACCTCCCTCTCCGCAGTCCCTTGTCAAAGTCACCGTAATAATGAACAACTACCACAGTGCTTTTGTTCCTAATTTCCTGGAAAAAACTGAAAAGCAGCACCCAGCTACCCTCAAGATCTTCTCCACCACTACCAACAGTTGAATTATTTGTGAAATTTTTTTGCTGTAACTGAAGCAACAAATTACTACAGTAATTATGTATCAAACAATTAACAGCATTTTCAATTTAGGTTTTAGAAAGAGATATTTTTTAGGTTACAACCAGGCTAAAAAGAAAGCTGAGACCCATTCCTGTAATGCACGTTTATGTACTATGCAGTCTAACCAACTTGCCTAAAGGGAAGTAACGAGGTGTGCCAGCGTAGATCTTTCCAAGCAATACCATCTTCAGACTAAGTGCTTGCATTCTGTCAGTGGGGCTCAGAGTCACACTGTCACTCAACTCTGAAAGTATAAACAAATCATTTAGAGAGAAAAGAATTCCACATTCATACACAACTACACTGAAGTATTCCAATTCACTATTAACACATCAGAATATTACACTACAAGGGAAAATACACTTTTTCTGGTATGTATGCATATATTTTAACAGATTTTTGCTTCCTTGAAGTTCCATGCAAATCTACTTTAAAAAAAAAAAAAAAAAGCCAAAAAAAAAAAAAACCAAGCCCCCCACCAAACTCAATAACAAGTCTACAAAAAAAACCCAAAATAAAACAAAACAACAACCCAGTACCATGTAGTTTTTCCCCTCAAATCACTGTCAATGGTGTTTGCATAATGGCAACCTCAAGCACAAAATTCAAGAAAAAAAAAAAAACAACACAAAACAGGAAGAAATTAAATTACCAAGCCATGGTTAGTGGTGAGGCAGATGATCACAGCTGAGCGGCTACGCTTGCACAGCTGTACCCGCCACTCTGCTGCTCTGTAAATGGACAGAGACCCCCCACACTTCCACTCCTGTCTACATTATAAAAAATGCTGAGCTCCCTGAAGATTCTTTATTCTTTGTCATGATAAATTTAACATCTTTACTATAATTTCATACTAGTGAAACCTTCAGACAAGATTCACAGGTATTCTAAAATCCATATATAAAGGCATCCAAGAGCAAGAGGGGATGAAGTTACTTCTTATCTGGAATGTTATTATTCAAGGCATACATACAATATGCTCCAACACACACACCTAAAGGACAGAAAAATAGGTGTTTTACACACAAGCCAAAGGAAATAACATTACTGAACTACATTTAACAAATAAATTACAAAATAGTCCAGGAAAGATGCATCTTGTGTATCAGTAACCAAAATTGTACCATTTTCCTGTAGCTCTAGGCTGTACCATTCCCATTTCATTAAGACCTACCTTTCTCAATGATTTCTTGCCAGAGAGTTTGCACCAAGATAGGATCAGAATGACCTGCACAATGTATAATTGCAAGCTTACACTCTGAGAGTTTAAAAGGGTCAGCAAATTCTCCATACAGCTGAAAGAAAAACCACAAGGTTTTACATTTCAAGTAGGATAAAAAGGAAATTTTCTTTATTTTGTAGGGTAGACATCAGACCAGTAGAGGAGAAACTTCAGTAACTGCTGCCAAACACTACATGAGGTTTCTTTTTACTATATTATGTTTCACTTCTTAAATACAATCCCCAATTTTATATGCAGTTAAAGTCATTTAACACTGTTAATTTTCTAACAACTTGCCCAATAAATGAAAAACATCTTTTAGACTTAATAAAGAAGATAAACATATGGGAGAAACTGTAGTACTGAAGATTGAAGGAATATCAAAGTACAGAAGAAGACAGTCTAGTGTAACAGTATGAGACCAGAGATATCAAACTGTCTCTCCATTACTTTTCCTGGTCAGCAAAGGATCATTCTTTGCAAAACATTTTTTTTTCCCCAAAATATGACTCATTGAATTCTGATACAGAGAAACGTTAATCACCTTGGTTATATCCATCAGCTCAGCATCAAGCTGGGAGATTGCGTCTTGCACTGACGAATGATGCGAATACTGCTGTTGTAAGGTTTCTTGTATTTGAAGCTGGATCCTTGCAACCTAGTTTAAAAAGAAGAATAAAATATTTCAAGATTGGATTAAAGTTCATTCTTAATCTTTGGTAAAACGAATTTATTTAAATGTAGAACTGTTACTGCCTTACACCTCAGTCTCCTATCAACTGATGTAAATTTGCCATGTCACAAAGAGAGCACAGAAAACTGTTTATACAGAACTGGTAATAAAAATGACATGTGCCAATGAGATGAAGTGAAATGATGCATTCGCAGTGTATCTTAGATTGGTATTTTTTCTTACTTCCATTTTCTCTTCTAGTTCATGTAGGAATTCACCATCTGCAGCTATTGAGGATATGGCAGTGGAACTTTTGGCACTCAAAATGGCACGTGCAATGTATTCAAGACGCTGCTGAAGAGAAATTTCTGTGCTGCAAAACAAAAAGTCAAAATAAAATGGGTACTTAATATAATTATTTGAGGGTTAGTTATATTCTAACCCTCAAATGTAGGAGGGTTAAAAACTCTGTGAATCTCTATGTGATTTTTTCTTGATTTTACTAAATCGTTGTCCAGCCATGTAACCCCATCTTTGCTGCAGGCTCAGATCTAGTGTACTTCTCAATCCACTGCTCCACAGTAACATCATCACATTGTAACACTGTGTAAGAAACAGCCACTTAATATTCAGTTCAATAACATAAAATTTCTTCCAATAACGGCCTGTATTAAAAGATGATGTATTTCATTAATTTTATTTATTTATTTTTAGCAAACATCCTCAAGCATTGGCTTTTTCTTGTCCTTGGCCTCTTCTTAAAATACCTACACAAAAGGTTTTGGTATTAGTGTTTTCCTTCCCCACAATTACCTCAATATATGCAACAGATCATGCATAACCCATACCTGTGCAGGTCAGCCAACTTTGCCAAGACTCTGGCTGCATTACTAAAATTTCTATTCTTTTCAAAGTATCTCCACAGTAAATCCATGTAACGGACTTTGTTTTGGTCAACCTTGGTCATCCGCACAAGGTAGGGTTCCAAAAAGGGGGCAGTAACCTGCAAAAATCATAAAGACAACACTTATTTCTTGCACTTTCCTCTTTTTTAATGCATCAGCATTATTACAAAACAAATAATAAATAGAAAGTAAATGATAAATTAAATAAAACTAATTATTTCCTTGTATAGTTAAGATCACCTGTAGCAGTTTGTCCGCCAAGTCAGCTTGTATTAACCAGTTGTAAAGTGCAATACTGAAGAGTTCATCTGTTGAACGCTGAGCCAGCTTCAGCATTTGTTCAAACTAAGGGAAGAAAAGGCCAAAGCTGTTATTCCCAAAGTGGTTACATTATATCAAACACTAAACATGTACGCAGCAATACTTAGGTTCACGTTATTTGCATGTCATTGTGTCTGTGAACACTCTGTACATAAAGAAGCCAATTTATATCAAATCCTAACTTCTATCTACTTTGCAAACAATAAACTCTACACCCCTTCAAATCACACCATTTCCTGGAGTGCAGTCATGATATTTTTGTGCATTTCTTACATGGTGCCCTGCTTCTTCATTGCTTAGCATGTTGGGGTCAGATGACAGCACTGGAGGACCTGGCTTTTTGGGTACACTGGGAGACTGAGGAGCAGCTTTGCTTTGATTCACTAACTCCTGAAGGGTGTCGGTGATACACTTGTAGCTATTCAATCTGTAGACAGAACAAAAGAAAAAAAAACTTCACAATTTTCATTGCAACTATCTATGAAATACTACACTCAAATGTTATGCTATGCCCTTGTAAATACAATCAATAACATTTATAAAAGGCCACAGATTATTGTCAGCCAGTCACTACTTTCTAAATCATCTTTCTAGCAAGTATTTCTGTAACATTCACTTCACAACCTTTTCTGCATCTGTTTAGCCTCTGTTCCAGATTAAGTTACTGCCATATTAACGATAATCAAGAAAAGCATGACATGCAAGAAGATCTGTATTGTGTCCCCTGTTGTAAAATGCTTGTCTGTCATTACCCTGCATACCTTCCCTGAAATAGTTACCCTTCCAGACACACTTAAATACAGCAATTCCATATAATGGTACTAAGGTATCCTAAAAACTTGCCTCTCCTGAAAAGCTTGGAGTCCAACAACATCCTCTTCTGGTTCTCCATTTTTATAGAAATGAAGGCCAAGACGCTGGGGATCTTTCTTCTCAGCAGCTGTAAGAGAGAGTTCTACTACTCCCTCATAGAAACGCACTAGGAAAAAAAAAAACCAACAACAAATATCACTGTTATTGCACTGGTTCTACAACAAAATGGTGATATTGAACACTTCCCAGTTTAGCAAGCAAGAAAAAATAAACCCTGTTCACTATGATCTGTATCATATCAAGGTTTATGTCTGTACCTAACCTCTGCGATTCTATGCAAGTTTGAAGCTACATACTTTTAACAGTCAAGATTTCAGCCTCTGCACAACAGTTACATGTACATTTAAATAATGTATGAGCTCCTACTGCACAGAAGAGGATTCAGAACCATTTTCAGTCAGCACATCTGGCATAAAACATGACCTGTACAGTCATATATCCTCTGCTTACATACAGCTCAACAATTTACCTAAACCTTTTTTTACCACATAGATAAAACAAATGGACACTGCAATGTGAAATAGGTGGATGGGAATATTTTTATAGAGAAGTGGTTTTTTTTTGATTAGTTGGTGAAATCTAGAAAGGCTTTAAACATGAACAGGTTGGGGTATATTAATTTTAAAAATTATTAAGAAACCGTTCAAGGTAAAACACTTTGAGTTGAAAGTTAGTAAACAAAACAAACAAAAAAGATGTCACAAAAGGCTACTACGGAAACTATTTACCAGAACACGATCACTGATTGCCTCTTACCTTGCCTATATTGTGCACAAACATTGCTAAGGTCAACTTGATTGCTGATCTTCTGGTACTCTTTCAGTGACTCTCTCAGCATCTTCTCTTTTTCCACTTTGCTTTGAGCCTGTCGAGACCGCTGAAGCAGTTCATTCGCCTAAACAAAAATAATGGGAAAATGGAAATTATTGACACATAATGAACAGATCAGAGATATTGTTGTAAGTTAATGAGTTATTATTCCAAATTTCAGACCTGAAACAGCAGAATCACAGAATCTTTTTGGTTGGAAAAGACCTTCAAGATGACTGAGTCCAACCATTAAGCTAACACAGCCAAGATCACCACTAAACCATGCCCCTCAGCACATCATCTACATGTCTTTTAAATGTGGATATACTTCCAGGGATGGTGACTACCACCTCCCTTGGCACCCTGTTCTACTGTTGCTCAACAACCCTTGCAGCAAAGAACTTTTTCCTAATATCCAGTTGAAACCTCCCCCAAAGCAGCTTGAGGCCACTTCCTCTTCATCTTTCCCATCACTTGCTACTTGGAAGAACAGACTGGCATCTACCTCACCACAACCTCCCTGCAAGTAGTTGTAGAGGGTGATAAGTTCTCCCCTGAGCCCCCTTTCCTCCAGGCTAAACAACCCCATTTCCTTCAGCTGCTCTGCAGGAGACTTGCTCTCTAGACTCCTCATCAGCTTCCTTGCTCATCTTTGGACAAGCTCCAGAACCTCAGTGTATTTCTTGTTCTGGAGTCCAAAACTGAACCCAGTATTTGAGGTGTGGCCTCAGCAGTGTTGAGTATAGGGGCATAATCACTTCTGTAGTCCTTCTGGACACACCCTTTCTGACACAAGGCAGGATACCGTTGGTCTTGTTGGCTACCTGGGCTCACTACTGCCTCATGTTCAGGTGGCTGTCAATCAACACCCCCAGGTCCTTTTCTGCTGGGTAGTTTTCCCCGCTCTTCAACTCAGTGCAGGTCCCAGCACTTAACTCTAGTAGAAACATCATCCTCTCACAAGGTGACAATAGTTACAATCTCTTGTCACTTGGTAACACTAAGTTTCCCACAGAAAGACTGTGCAATGGCTATAGAGGGAAGAATTTAAATGACCAATTGGTTCCCCGTTCTCCTCTCACTAATTATTTTTTTCCACATTTATTTGAAGAGCTTCAAAGAGTGAAGTTCTTAAATACAATAACACTCCCACAGATTCCATGAACTAGGCACAGACAGAACACAAGACTATACTGAAGAAAGACTGCAGTAGAAACACATTTAAGAACATCAAGAAGACAGTTTTGTCATAGAATCATAGAATCTTTTAGGCTGGGAGAGACCTCTAAGATCATCAAGTCCAACCATTAAGCCAACACTACTAAGTCCTCTGCTAAAACAGATCAGAATATGTCAGGGCTGGAAGGGACTACAAATATCACCCAGTTCCAACCCCCCTGCCATGAGCAAGGACACCTCACACTAGATCAGGCTGCCCAGAACCTCATCCAGCCTGGCCTTAAAGACCCCCAGGGATGGGGCCTCAACCACCTCCCTGGGCAACCCATTCCAGGGTCTCACCACTCTTATGGTAAAGAACTTCTTCCTCATGTCCAGCCTGAATCTGCCCACTGCCAGCTTTGCCCCATTCCCCCTAGTCTTGTTGTTACCCGATAGCCTAAAAAGTCCCTCCCCAGCTTTCTTGTAGGCCCTCCTACAAGAAAGGCCACAATAAGGTCACCTCAGAGCCTTCTCTTCTCCAGACTGAACAGCCCCAACTCTCTCAGTCTGTCCTCATAGGAGAGCTGCTCCAGCCCTCGGATCATTCTTGTGGCCCTTCTCTGGACACGCTCCAGCAGGTCCACGTCCCTCTTGTAATGGGGGCTCCAGACCTGGATGCAGTACTCCAGGTGTTGTCAGACATCACATTGGAAGTAGGGATGCTATGAACACTACAAATAACTGCAAATACCTCAAACCAGAGCTTGCATGTTTTCCAGCACTAATGAACTACAAGACACAGATATGCACATGACCTGCCATCAGTTCTTGTGCTCCTGAATCACCTTGAGCATAATGACTTACAAGTTGCCTAAATAAAATCATTTGAATATATTCTAACTTGTGTTTTGGTGCTGTAAAATCTGGAAGTGCACTGACCTTGGAACACACAGCATCATCAGTGCTATAAAGAAGAGGACAGATGTCTTGCAAATGGGCAATGATGCCATCCACAGCAGCATTATCTCTGATGTAACAGTTTATAAGAGAAGCAATGAGTGCTCCCGTCAACTCTCTGTCTCTAATTACCAAGTCTTTAAAAGCAGTAATCTTCAGATGTTCTTGAAGTTCCTGAAGACAGACAGAACTTTATTAGTTTATCGCAGTTTATATTTAATTCTGTTTTGAAACATCATAATGTTACCAAGTTAAGTGTTTCCATTAAATAAAATGATACAAAACTCCAATGACTGAAATGCACAGCAAACAAATACATCATTTAAAATACATGTTATAGAGAAAAATGGAAATAATGCAGAAAACCCCAAGAAAGAAGGTACTAGACTCTTGGATGCCAGAGGACAGTAGAACACCCCTCAGTGAGCACAGCAGAGGAAAACTGCCATGTGCCACTTGTGTTTCAGATCTCGCTGAGTCAGAACAGAATTAGCAGTTCCCCTTCACAGAGCACTGCCAGAATCCACAGCCTATAAAATGAGTATGTCAGTTCTTAACAAAGTGGACTGTCACAAATGAAAAAAATAGGTGCTTAAAAAGGAGGAAATTCATGAGGTCTGTGCGCTTCACATTTTTTTTATATTAAATTACATTGAGAAGGTGGTGGGTTTCTTGCCTTTTTTTTTTTTTAGAAAATTTTTAAAGTTACTAGGATTATTTGCTCAGAGTTGCCAGGAATGTTCATGCAGTGTCTATGGATGATCATCAACAGCATGAAAATACTATTACAGAAACTCAGCTATTGAAGACAGAGGAAAAGGTTCCATTTGTTAAACAATTATTTAACTCCTTGTCTAACCAAGCAAAAAGCTGCCAGTGTTGGAAATTGTGCTAATTTCCCAACACAGCAGTGTGACGAGCTCCAGCTTCTGTGTGTTTACGAAGTTTAAAAACTGTTGTTCTTATAGTCAGAAAATACAACTTCTTAAATACTCCGTTTTCCTATCAAGCACTAGGACAGAATGCCTAGTATTCAAACTAATAGCTTCTTCAAGGGCTGGATGCAAATTCAACATTGGCAATGGGTACACAGAAGTAGCACCTATAGTTCTGCAAGTTTCCTTCTTTACAAACAAGGAGAAGCAGAAAGAACTGGGAATGTTTAGTCTGGAGAAGGCTGGGGAGGGGTGGGGTGCGAGGAAGAACAGTGTATGGGATCTTACTAATACTCATGGAAAGGTGTAAAGAAGGCAGGGCCAGATTTCTGAGTACTGCCCAGTGACAGGACATGACACAATGGCCAAAAGTCGAAACAAAGGAAATCACAACTCAGCATGAGAAAAATCATTTTACTCTACAGGTGGTTGAATGCTGGAACAGGTTGCCCAGAGAGGCTGTAGGTAATAAAAACCTTACTGGACACAGTCCTGGGCAACCTGCTCTAGTTGACCCTGGCAGTAGGAGCAGATCTCCAGAGGTCCATTCCAACCTCAGCTGTTCTGTGATAGATTCTGGACCTCTATTTACACAATAGTACCAAAGTTTGAGACTCTACAACCCTATTGCCCTCCACTGTCAAACCTTTACTAACACTAAAGCAAAAGTTAATTCCTTTTGTCTGGACAACATTGGTCTATTCAGCACATTTTTGCAGTTAAGGATAACGCACAGTAATTTATAAAACCAGACTCGATGGTCAATAAAAGTAATTTAAAATCAACCATTAGTGACAGTTCCAATTTGCTAAAATTGGATGATGAGGCCAATGCTACATGTCAGTACCTTAAAAATAAACACTTGCAACCTGAAAAAAAATCCACATGTGGTTTAACATTCGCTGCGTTTCTCAAATAAATTCATACGTTAAATACAAACAAATGAAAATTGTATGATTTGAACGTACCTTCTGAAGCTCACCTACAACTACACTGAATTGGTGCTCACACAGCAACTTCCATAATGCCAATGCCTGACAGGTTTTGTGAACAAGCTGCTGGATGCCTTGAAGTGAGGTCTTCTCAGTTAACTGTGCTTCAGCTGGAAAGCAAAAGAGATTGCCAGTAAGTAACTGTTCTACATGTTTCAATTTAGCATGTAAATTTTTGAGGTTTTACAATAACAACCTCCTTAAATTTTTTTTTTCCCCTCTCTCTTCCATTCTTAACACTGTCTAGCTCTCTTTGGAAGTGCCATGTTCACATCTCCCTGAATCAAACACGATCTGTTAACACTTACTTCCAACTGTGCAACACAGGTGGAATACTTTCTGAAAGAGAACTATGGCTTCATATGAGTGTGCTTGATTTACATATCGATCTTAATTTTCTGTTTAGTTTTCTTAATAAATAATTATGATAAATATATTTATGATGAACACAAAAGAAATAAAAGTAAAGCCATAGAGTTTCCCTTTTTGTTTCATCACCCGTATTTGCTTTTAGAAAGCGGAAACACAATGACAACTTTGGGCAACACTGTCTACACTATCTTTAAAGGAATAACTACTCCAAAAACCAGTGACATTTATATCTAGTAACATGTATTACATACACTGAACGAATAAGATGGACGTACTTATTACATGGGTAGAACATACAAGTATTTTAGCACTTAAATTGTTGCAGTTGAGTGCTCACAGTTCAGAAATAAGGTAGTAATAATTTTACTGCGCTATTTAGCAACAGAAAAGGGGCTATGGACTTTCAAATGCAAATAAAAATAAAATTAAATGTCTACCAAATTCTATTTCATGATTTTAAAAGAAAAAAAATTATATTTACTACTGAATGTGAGTAGTACAGAAGAAGCAGATTTTAAAACTTGGGATTATACCCACACAGACCACAACTATCTTCAATTTTTTATATACTTCAGCAATACTTCCCAACTTGTCTAAGTCCTGGGAAAAAGCCACACTATAGCAGGACATAAGCTCAGATGGGCCGTGTGACAGGCCTCTTATTCTAAAGAAAGTTTTGTGGGCATTTCAGTGACTGTAACTTAGGCAACCTGCATTACAGTATTTCTTTTTAATAGGACAACCTACTCGCTTGTCTCACAAATGAGTTGCTTAACAACTGCTTTTCTGGAAATATAAACGTGTGCGCAGCTACTACGTATAGTAATGAGGAGACGAAATAATCTTATGGAATATGGAGAATGTTAGGAAGGAAAAAAAAAAGGAAAAAGGTAAATGTGCAATAAACCTCTAGTTTTATATTTCAGGATTATCTGAATGGGGAGAATAGGACACATACCCACAAAGAACTGAAATGTAACTCTGTGTGAGAGAGAGAAGTTTAAAAGCACTTTAAGTTTCAAGTATTTTTATTTTAGCTTAATAAAATGAGATATAATTTGTGTTTTGCAGTGACTCAAGACCACTAGGTGTTACTGTGCTGAAACCCAGATTCTCTTCACAGAGATATTCTCCTTCGCAGACTGCTTTAATTAGTTGCAATATTAAAGCTTTCTGTATCAAACTGAAAGGTACCATCCAAAGCATGTAACAAATGAAGTCTCTTGCCAAGCCTGAAGGCTGGAATTTTTCTCTACCTAAATTTTGAGTTTTCATTCTGGTTATATACCTCATCTCTAGTACAGTTGTACATACATGATTTTTTTCACATCAATATCCCTGCAGAAGCACTGCTCCTGACAGAACAGTACAATACTGTATGGAAGGAAAAGCAAGGTACTAGCAAAGTTAGTTTCCAAACTACAGTGCATTTTCTGAAGATCTATTAGCAAGTATGCCATATTGTATAATGACAAATTGGTTTATAAACAAGGCATTTTTATTCAGAGATTTTAACAAGAAAAGTGAGAAAGGCAATATCCAAATGCACCATTCCCCAATACTTCCTGTTCAAAAGTGATTACATACCGTGATATTTCCTCTGGAGTTCTTGCTGGACTTGCTGAGAACTGCCACTGTCAGGCCGCATGAAACCCAGGAGCCTCTGTTGCAGATTTGCTGGTGTGCTAAAACTGTAAATTCAAAATAAAAAGAGATGCTAAGATGATTATAAATAGTCAACCCTTTAAAGACGAAATCTAACAACTCACCTTTATCATCTGAATGGTTGAAGCTGGAGAACATACACAACTCAACACAGATACACATGGTATAGTTTTGCCAGAGCTGAACGCTGCATACCACCAGTAAATTTAACAAAATGAACAATACCTTGGGTTTCCAAGGGCTCCTACTGTGGCAAACTGTGAATTTCTATCCAGAAATTCTTGTAAACCTTTTAGTTCTTGTAGTACACATTCCAGCACATGGGATGGAACACTGCTTTCTACCTGCAAAAGTGGATTTTACAGAAAGCTTAGTTTCCAAACTTTTTCCAAAAACATACAATTTTAAGCTAAAGCCACTAAAAAGACTAACACAAAGAGGACAGCACAAACAAATAGCATACTAGTAGTGCTATCACTAAAACACAACATTAATATACCACAGTCATTGAACAGGGGCACAGAGGTGAATAGGCCCTAGTCCTCTGAACATCCAAGATGCTACTTTCTTTGCCCCTCTGATAACCAAATAAGCTGTGTTTTAGTACTTCCAACTCTGAACTAAACCAATGATAGAGCACTGCTAAGACTCAAAGTATAACTGCCAAGGTCTTCCAGAGCCTCCCAGTTATAACTGGACGAGGAAAGCACATGTAGCAGCTAGTCTGCATTGCTGACTCCATTCAGGATTCCGTTAACACCCTCAGTTAGAAAAGTTTGTTATCTGCGCCATGGACAAAAATTGGAGCATGAAGATGTTAGTCAAGAAGATGATGGAAATTTTTTTTTATTACGTAACTGTAATGTTAATTCTAATCCACTAACACATTTTATTTTTAGGCTTTGTCTGGACAGGGTATGCAGAAATGAAGGAAGTGCAATCACTAAACAGAGAAAACTGGCCACTGCCAATTAACAACAGAGGTCAAATTACAGTTAGGTTTCTTAAAAAGTAACTTTTTAAATAGTAGCTTAAAAAAGGATTTAAAACCTAGAACTACCCCTCAGTTAAGAGTGCAGTACTTAATAAAACATTCAAATGACAACAACTTTTTTTTTCCCTTTTTACAGTTGTGAACAGAAGTATAACAGGGCTTAAGACATAGTACAGAACTTTAAAGAAGACAATAAAATGTTACATACTGCAACAACTTCTCGATTGCCACTTTTGAAAACTCTCTCCACAACTATACTGCCATCCCAAATATTTCTGCAACACAAACCAGTAGTGTGTTAAAAGCGAAGTAATTTATTTTTACATTTTTCAGCTGAATATAGAAACAATTATAAAAATTTCAAATTTAAAGACTTTAATCAAATGAAGTTTGATGCTGTGACATACTTCAACTATCAGCCAACATTACTCCCTGTAAATACAGAAATTTTTATTATGACAGTTGTTTGCCTATACTTTCTCAACCAGCATGCAGAGAGATGACTAACACACGAAGAGCTCTGTTCTTGCTTGGGGGGGGGTACACAGGACTCAACGTGCAAGTAACAGAATCCTCTTTAGGCTTACTTCATTGCTGTGATTTGAGCAATGCTAAGTCCTTTTGCATTTCTGCTTCATCCTTCAGGAGTTGAAACATATAGCTCATTGGTTTAAAAAATAAATCTGTGCTTTTCAGAGTTGTGCACAAAATGTTGATTGCAGGATATCAATGTCTAAGCAACTTGCCTGTCCTAGCCATTCACTAATTGTATTAACAGCTGTAAAGAGAAAGTGTTAATCAACACATTCTTCATAAATGTAACACAAATATATACTTTACTAACTTCAAATTTAAATGCTATCAAGATAGAATTCACGACCTAAAAATACTAGGGGAAATAAAAACCATTAAATGAGCAACAGAACACACTTTTACACAAACACCTCACCCGATAATCCGAGCAAAGTATATACATATGCCATTGTGTCTTCCAGAAAATACTATTTCAGGACCCATCATTCCGCTAACAGGTGCGCCAGGGTGAGAGGTGGAATTCCCAGCAGCAAATAGGGGAGTTGACATAGTAGGAGGTTGTAAACCTAGGGTAAAAGTAGGTAAAGTTTACTCATTTCAATGCAAATAAAGAAATCTAATTGGAAATAAAAACAATCTTCCATTTCTCCAGCAAAGGAAAAGAAGGTGTTACCTTGCCCAGGTGTTGCCAAAAAGGTAGGACTAGGATATGAACTATCAGCAACCAAGGAGGAACCTAAAAGGGAAAAGAAATAAAGGTAAGTTCGTTAAACAAGTTCAAAAAAATATCACCAACCAAAATATAACCCATGAAATCCCTGTGCAAAAGCAATGAAGTTGTTAAATCAGGTACTTTAAAGCAGAGCCATTCCAGCAACTTTTAGTAATAAATACCGAATTACACTCATTCCTTAAAAACCCAAGATTCTATAAGTGAACCAAATGGATACACTTCTTTTAAAAACAGATATTAAGCATTTTTTTTTCAGCATTCATGTGTTATTTATTGCACACCACCTGTTCCCTGCACTGAATAATACTGGCCATATACTTTTTCTTGTTCTTCCCTTTCTGACTGCTCCCACTGTGGCTATGGGCATCTATTCTCAAAGCATTCACTTTCATTTAGATATTTTCAAAGAATATAAATTTTACCTTCAAAGTACTGAACTGAAAGAAACTGGTGTTATTACTCTTAATTTTTGCATAGGGAAGTTGGACAAACACTGCGGGAACACTTAACTTGGAACATTCAGTTTGAGACTGTCCATTGCCTCAGATTCAGCTGTGAATAGTCAACTTTCTGCAAATTAAGTCTGGATACCTAATTTAAGACCCCAAAATAAGAGGAACATGTGTGGTCATCTACAAAATTGTCCACATACCATTAGCCTGTAGGATGATTTATCACAGAAAGGACAAGAACACTGACACTCTGAAAATTTGGCTTTTATCAAAAAGTCAGTCCCTCTTGCCTTATTCTTCACTACAGTTCTCTTGATCTGGCCACACACAATAGCCCAAAAGATAAAGTCCTCACTTAACGGTGCCGACGCATTCTCAGAGCACATTCTCCTGTGTGCCAAGCAAAGCACAAACTTGAAGAAAAGCGGCATGCAAATGCATGACTAGACTTCTAACAGTGAGAAACAGGGGCAACTAAATTAAAGGTGCCTGACCTCTTAATGCTAAGGTTACTGTAATATGGTCTCATATGCAAATTTTAAAGGTGTTCTAATCAATTTCTGTCACCACTGTCTGACCCACCATGCGGGACATCCACAATACCAAAATCTTAATTTCACATGACAGTTCTCTACCCTTTGAGCAAATGGAGTAAGAAGTAGCAGAAGAATGGTGCCATCTTCCACCTGGACTTGTCACTGAAGCAAAATGGAAATGCATGGTTTGGTATAAGGTTTCAAAGAGGTATGTAAGACAGCAAATCGTAAGAATATCCAAACATTCAGACTTGGGGAAAAAAAAACATCTACTTCTAAAAGGAGTCTTGCGTACAGTTTCCTGTCATTTCACCCACACCTTACTTTAATTGCCACTCTGCTTCTAGCACCTGTCCTTCCATAGCTGCTGTACTCTCCAACTCAGGTTTAATTTTACATCTTACGTCTTGTCTCAGCTCCTGCCTGCAATGGCTATTCTTCCACACCATAAGGCTTGGAAAGTGATCCCACTGATGCATGAAAAATAGCCATTCTTTTTAAGTGTTCCAATACTAGATAAATATTCTGAAAAAGAGGGTCAACTGTTTTTCCAAAACTTCATCACAGTTCAGCATGCCTTTCTCCAACACTTACAAATTTTGATGTATGTCAAAAATGGTACTGAAATGGAATTTTTTTGCATTCTAGGCAATAATTTTTTACCCCAAGTCTGATGTGTAAAGTTGAATGCCATATGTCAGGTAATGGTAAATGATCTTGGAAATCAATGAGTTCCTGATTAAAAAGTAAATAACTCAAGAGTTCCAAATTCATCATTATTAATTTCCTTTTTAAAAGCCCTTAACATCCAGAAATGAGTAACAATGTTACGGGACAACTTCCTGAGGCAACTGTTGAAATTTTAGTGAATCTGAATCATACAGAAAGGCATCCTCTCCAATAAGCATCAAAGTTCTGAGGAGAAAGAATAGACACTATTCTCATTTGTAGGTGGTGCTGAGGACCTAAGCAGAAAGCAAATGTTGAAATAGACTTTTTATATGGAGAAATCACTCCAAGTGACTAACCAACTTCTTGATCAAAATTTTAATTTTCTTCTCATAAGCAGTATTTGCAGAGGTATGACAGTAACACTGTAAGATATTCTGCTGTAGCCACACAACAACCAAATAACCTTTGTAATGTTTGAACTATAGTATTGATCAGTTGTTCTCTGGCTGCTGAAGTGCCTCTGGCAGCCAGAAATATATACCTTCTGCCAATAATCTTAACAGGTTATATGCTGTATCCAGACAGTTTGAATCACATCACCATCTCACTACACCAAAAAATCACTGAAGAGAAATGGGGAAAACTCTGTAATTAATTATCCAGTGAGTGGAGAATCAAGGACTATTTCGGACAAAAAAACCACGAACACTTGTGAGAAAACAAAATATAACATATTTAATGAAAGAAAAATATCCAAAACCAGGAACCACTTGCTACTTACTGCCAGAAACAGGAGAACTGGAAACAGGACCAACGTTGACTGGAGGAGGCAGAGCAGACGGAAATCTCATTTGTGCTTCTCCACCATACCTAAAGTTTACATACAAAGAGAAGAATTCCTCACACTTCATACATAGTCCATTTAATCTCCATGTCCTTGAGAATTAACAGCAATTTTTGGTGTTCTTTTAAAATAGAGAATAAAATAAATAATATTACTTTTCAGAAATATTTGTGGCTGTATGATACTTTTGGCAGAAGAAAAGAATAATTGAATACATGTGAAATGCTGGGGTTTAAACCCCCAGCCCTGAAGGAGGGATGATGTCCACAACCAGGCAAGAAAGACCCTCCTGATTGGTTTTCACGCAGGGTCTGGCCAGCCCTAGGTGAGAACCGATGAGGAGATCACCACCAGGTTCCCCACCTTCCACATTAACATCTTGTCCCGCCTCCAAGTTAATCACCTAAGAGCTGACTCTGCTCAAAGGGGAGTTGGGGGAAGCTTATTCACACAGTAGACTTACTGTGTAGGGATTCCAGTTATTGGAAGGACTCCCTGACTCACAGCTACAAGCAAAGTTACCAGCAACGGCAGGGCAAGATCCAGGCAGAAAGAGGATGATGTATGTAATGATGCCTTTCCCCAGCAATTATTATAGTATGGTTGGAATTAGACTGATAACTTGGTTTCTGGCTCTGCTCACTCCTTTTGTTGCAATGTTACATGAAAAGCATTAACACATTCAACTGCAAACATAAGTTAGATGAATAACTAAGGGTTTTCTTTGTGGATGTTTTAAGCTTTGTGTGACCAGGCTTTAAGGCGTAATTTACCTGTTCTCAAAATCAGGCTTATGCTTTAGTATCTTTTAAATATTTGCCTCTGCAGGAAAGTGGAAAGAAGGACGAAGCTGAGATGACCCATGCTTATCCTTCCATTCTCCCCAAGTAATTTCTATCTACCTCTCCCCTACACTGCTATCTCTCTGGAGTTATCCACATTGCCTCTCAGATCTTCTAATGTAATTGAGCTTGTCAAAGAGCAACTATTCACAGCCTATTGAGAATAGCTGACTTGAACTAACACCTCCACAACTTCTGAAAACAAGCAAGATTTTGGGAATGTAACACTCAAACACTAGTGCAAGCATACAGTCAAAGCTGCACATGTTGTCATCACTCTCAATCGCTGTATATTACCCAGTCCTTTTTTTTCCTTCCAGCCTGCATGTTCTGTGAGGACAGCCAAGAGACCCACAGTATATCAACTTAAGGCAGCTAATCAAAATATACACATCTTCCCCAATACTAGGGATATGCAGTACTTAAGATACACAGATGACAAGTCAGTCCTCCAGAGTAGAAGCCCATACTTCTTCAGTCAGTTGTGCAAAAAAATCCAAACCAAATCCATTTTAAATAAATAAATAAACTAAAAATCAGCATCCATAACCATGAGTCATTGGGACCTGAACAGGGTAAGTCTGTTTGAATCCTGATTTCCTTGGTGCAGTGGTGAACAGCATAAATAACTACCATATGTTAAGAAAAAAATACCAAACCAACCAAATAGAAACAAACTCCAAAACCCCACAAAAATTCTAAAATATTGTCTGCTCTTCTTCCAGCTAAGTTGGTCTCAATGAAGATATTACTGTGCATTGCACTTCAATGAACTGGGATACTGTGAAGTATAGGTAAGTAGAGTTCCATCAGATTAAACTACATTAGCTAACAGCCTCCTCCACACATGGAATACAGGCATCCAAGAGGGGGAATCACTATTACAGGAAGTTGCCTTTGTTGATGAGCCCTGAATCAGTATAAAAGTATATTCCATCAGGTTTAACAGTCTAAGCTTATTTGAAGACAATGCTCAATCATGGCATCAGGTTAAAGAGCCTGTACAATTATTTGATCCTGAACATAATATTCAGAAAAAAATTAAAGAACTGAAACTTACCTGAAGAATGCTCGAGTAGCCCAGGCAGACACTTCTCTGTCACATGCAGCGTTAGAACAGGCCAAGATAAGGCAAGTAGCACAAGCTTGATCCTCCTAGAGCATAGTATAGTATTAGTGTGGCAGTTTACTCAAGTTGATAAGAAATGTATAGAAGTTACATTGTTTGATAACTAAATAGTAAATATTTTTTACATCATTTTATTAGAAGGCAAGGAAATCAGCTCCTCCCAATTATGGACAGCAAGCAAGTTATAGTGAAGCATCCCACTGTAGCAGGTAAGTGCTCATTATACAGTTTTTGCAAGCTCATTACAATTGCTAGTAGGAAACAATGACCATGTCTGTCACCTAATTATGACCAGGAATCATGCAATTTTTACAGAAACATAAATTAAGATTGTGTTTGAAGAAAAAAATCTGTACAAATAATGGTTTGCATGTTCCAATGGCATGTTTAAGTATCACTTGAACATGCTGCAGGTAACATTCCCTACAGACACTAGTTAACACTAGACAAATTAAAACAGTAGGCCCCAATAGCTTCCTTCCTGCTTGTTACTTGTTTCAAACAAAAAAGTAGATCAATTATACACATTTCTACTTGTGGTGAAATGCTGGGGTCTGAACCCCGAGCCCCTGAATTAAGGTTGGCATATGGGTGATTCCCACAGCCCTTCATACAGAGGTGGTGAGTTTGCCTTATAGCTTCCCCCCAGGTGCAGCCGGCCCTGCAGGGAGAGCCACAAGGGAAATGAGCCCCAGGGGTCCTGCACTGAGTTGACAAAGGTCAGGTGTCTGCTTGGGGATAAAAGCTGGGACCACTGGCAGGGAGGGAGGGGGGGGTGGACCTTGGGTG